CACCGTACCAGGTGCTTCTGCACACCTGGAGGTAGCAGGCTTGCCTCCTGCCACTCTCCCTGCTTGCAGGACTGAGCCCTTTGGGGTGACTGCCAAAGAGGCTGTGGGTCAGATTTCTGCTTTCCTCTGTGGCCTGACTCTTCTCCCTTTGCGTATTCTGTCTCAGGGTGATGTGGCCATGAGCAAGGCTGGGCATTCCCCTTGGGCAGAGGTTAGAAGCCCCTGCATCCGACACCCCGTGACTTGAGGTTGGAACATGGTAGGTCCCAGGCAGTGCGCCCCCCCCCCACTATGCAGAGAAATGCAGTAAAATGGGGTGACTTGACCCACAATCCAAGGAGGGGTAGGAGTTGCTGAGGTCTTCAGTTGGGCTTGAGGAGGCCTGAGAGTCAGGCTATGCTGTTGAGAGAATGACTGGGGACTATTTCCGAAGTGCGCTGGGTTGGAAATGTGAGCCTGGGATCGCGTTGCTGGCCTTCCCCTGCAGTCCCCGCACTCTGCTCCAAAGTCATTCTGCATTGCCTCCTTGTTCCTGCCTACAGATAAGGAAACACTTGAACCAGGTGCCAGTGGCTCATGCTTGTAAACCTAGCCACTCAGGAGACTGAGATCTGAAGATTCCAGTTCAAAGCTAGCACAGGCAGATAAACTCCCCTTGAGACTTTTTTAAATCTCCCATTAACCTGCAAAAAGCCAGAAGTGGAGGTGTGGCTCAAGGGGTAGAGCACCAGCCTTAAACAAAAAGCCAAGCAAGAGCAAAAATCCCTGAGTGCAAGCCCAAGTACCAGCCCAAAATAGGAAAGAAAACACTTGAGGAACTTGGCCAACTGTGGGCTAGGTCATGCAGGAGTTCTGCCTCCCCTTGGCTGCTTTTCCTGCAGCAATGGCCAGAACCCACCCCCCAGGTCCCCCAGGATTCGCTCCAGACCCATCACACCCTTCTGTGCCCCCTGTGCGGCTGTTGCACACTTCCGTGCCACGTTCCACCTGCTGACATGTGCACACGCCCAGCCTCTGCTGAGCACAGCTTTCCCGCTCCGTCCATCCTTCCGTCCAGTCCTCCGCTGAAGCTCCAGACTGTCCCAGGAAGCTGCCCTGACCCTTGGCTGGGCTCCTTGACTGCTGACGCCCGTGCCACTGCAGAGACACTGCCCTTCTGTGAAGTTCAGGTCATTGATTGGCAGCCTGAGAGCATTGTCTAATTGGAAAAAGCCCAAATATAAAAAGTGCTGCATTTTATAGCGTGAGAGTTACATTGTTGTAAAGGGAATTGGCTTTCATATCTGGTGAAGCGTCACCTGGCTTTGAATCTAACTGGACCTAGCCAGGCTAGCTACCTCTACAGCTCCTGTGTGCTTTGATCCTGGGTGGCCAGCCCCATCTCCTGTCTGCCCTGGGAGCAGGTGAGCCTGGAATGGCTCCATAAGGACTCTGGGTGGCCTGGGAGGAGGCTGCTCTCGTGTCAGTCAGTGTCACCAGAAGTGCCTGAGCCACGGGGAGCAGGCTGCCTTTCTTGGCCAGTCAAAGCTTTGGAGCTGTCAACCATGGCAGCTGCCGTCTCTCGCTGTGTGCTGCAGGCCCGCCTGCCGACGTGGCCAGGTCTGCGCATCTGTCTCCTGTCAAGCCCACAGCAGGGCAGTGACAGTCTGTGTACCGGCGTGAACATGCTTACACATGCCTGCGCCTACCCGGGAGCCCCTGCCTACCTCGTGTAACCTGTTCTGGGCCAGACCGCTCTTCCGGGTGGAGGACAAGTTCAAGTTCTCCGGAAGTCAGGAGCTGCAGGTCCTTTCACTTCAGACCCGTTCCCCGTCCCTGGTGACAGGGCGCATCAGCGAAGGGCTTTGTCTCCTGTTACACAGAATGGGTTGCGTATGTGTGGACAGCTGTCTGCAGTTAAGTCTAGACACTCTACCCCTCAGTCCCCTACCTCCATGTTACCTCCTCTAGGAAGCCATCCTCGCCTCTATCTGAGCTGGCTTTTCCCTCTGAGCTCCAAGCTGTGACAATGGGAACATTCTGTGTGGATGATTGGTAGATGGGTGTGACTTCTGGGCTCTGAGCTTCTGGATGGGTGGATGGTGGCAGGGGCACTCTTGAGAGTGGACAAGGTACCCTCCAGATGGCTGCGAGGGGCAGGTGGGGACCAGGGATTGGAGGACTTGCCCAGCATAGGCCCTGTGACTGATCGAGGACCCCATCTTGCTCCCCACTAGACGAAGTAAATAGGTAAGAATAAGTAAGAGATGTGCTGTCATACTATCTGCTTGTCTCTTCCTGCCTTCCTTCTTCCTTCCTTCCTTCCTTCCTTCCTTCCTTCCTCCCTTCCTCCCATCTGTCCACTTTTTTTCCTTTCCACCTTCCCTTCCTTCATCATGTCATCCTTAAGCCAGTGTTCACTGAGCATCTTCGTGGGCCTGTCCCACTGCTATGACTCAAGAGCCTGAAGTTTTAGGGTGATTCGGACCTTGGGACCTTGGGCTTTTAGTTATCCAAGCTCTCCATTACCTGATATCCTTTGCCCCCCCTTGGGACGTGTCTGGGGGGGTCTTGGAGGGCAGGGCGAATGTATGGGTGGAGGGCAGAGTGAACACCTCTACAGACTGTACGTGCATTATTTCAGTCCAAGGAAAGGTCACAGATGTCATGGGAAGAACACAGGTGTGAGTCTAGTTTGTAGGGGTGCTCAGCCAGGATAGCCTGGCCTCATTTGTGCTGTCAAGGTTAGAATTAGGTGGGAAAAGGTCAAACAGTTAAATTCTGTACCTCTTGCATTTATTTACTTATTTATTCATTGCCAGTCCTGGGGCTTGAACTCAGGGCCTGGGCACTCACTGTTCCTGAGCTTCTTTTTGCTCAAAGTTAGCACTCTACCACTAGAGCCACAGCGCCACTTCCAGCTTTTTCTGTTTATGTGGTAGGGAGGAATCGAACCCAGGGCTTTATGCATGTTAGGCGAGCACTCTACCACTAAGCCACATTCCCAGCCCTTGCATTTATTCTTCAATCACCCTCAACCCCCCGCCGCGACCCCCCCCCCCCCCCCGCCAACACACACACACACACACATGCCTTCTTTCCCCCCTGCCCCACAGGCCATTGATTGGGTAGGGTGTGAGTTTGGTCCCGGAGAGTGGGAAGGGGCTGCTGGGGGAGCAATGGAGAACATGCAGCGGGGTCACAGCACAGCCTCCTGAAGATCCCTCCTCAGCCAGGCGTGGGTACAGGCGGGGGTGGGGTTACCCATTCTGCAGCATGCAGTCCCTGTTGAACACAGAGCCATGTGTGGCTGTGGTGGGTGACAGAGGCACAGGCTGGTGGCAGAGCAGAGCCCACAAGCTGGAAGCCTGGTCCTGGGGCCCAGAGAGCTTCTGGTCCCATTGCACAGGGGGCTGGAGCACAAGCCTCCAGGGGACACATGAAGTTTCTGGGGGTCTGGGCTCTGGGCAGCTCCACCAGGGCCATCGACTCTGTCGACGCCCACTTCCCTGGGGTCAGGAAAGCAGTGCTAGTTCTGCATGTTGGCCTAGTAAGGGCAGCTGAGCCCACACTGCACCATGTGAGAGGAGCTGGGGATGAAGCTTCTCCAAAGTGCTTGCTGCAGGGCTTCCCCATAGCCAGGACCTAAGCACAGGAGAGCAGACCTGGCACCCAGGCCTGAGGGAGAAAGAGCATGGGCTGGAGTGAACTTTCCAATACAGACCCTGCGACTCCGGCTGTATAGCCTGTCACTGCCCTTCTCTGCGGAGGACAGCAGGGTCAATCCTGTGACACTCCCCCTACTCTGTCCTGTGACATTGGGAGGGCCAGAAGTCTGGGACCATGAGCAGTGACCACCCTGAGTCCCAGCATGCTTCAGCCTTCAGTATGGCCTCCAGCAGTCATTCAAGCATATAGTAAACAGGCCAGGCCCAACCAAAATCTTCACTAGGACTCTGGGCCTGGGCACCAAGGGCTGCCCTTCCTGCCACCTTCCTGGCACATGCCTCCCTGCTCCGTCTCCACAGGGGCTGCAGGCTGGGCTGGGATTCTCCTAGATGTATGCTTCTCGACTGTGGAAATGGCTGTCTTCAGTGCCCTATGCCAAGCACCCAGAGGCCTGCTATTTTTATCTGCCGCTGGTGTCTCTGTTTGGGACAGTCAGGCTTTCTGTGAGCTTGCCACAATGTTTCCAGCAGGAAGTCAGATGTGGCCTCAGCCCAGTGGGTCTGCCCGGCAGGCAGACAGGCACACGCGATCCCCCTTTCCAGTAACAAGCCTGTCCTCACCAGGTGTGGGAACCTTCAAACTGCGAGTGGAGGCGGCTGCCACAGGCACTGGGTCAACTTGTCAGAAAGAACCCAAGCTTGTTCATCCAGAGCCTCATTAGAGCGCCAGACACAGATCCCAAGCATCCAGTCAGGGGAACAGAGGACAAAGCCTGAGCCTGCTCCAGAACCTTCCCTGGGGTCTTCTCTCAGTCTCCCTCGACAGGCTGGCCCCAGCTGGCAAACCGACATAACAGGGCCTGGAGATGGCAGTGTGCTGAGCGTGCAGGGCTTCCTGAAGGAGGGGCTGGCCAGGGCCGCTGAGTGGATGCCTCCACTCAGTGGTTTTGTTCTGTGCCCTGTGTGCATGGGATGTCCAAGGCCTGAGCGGGCCTTCTGCTCGAGGAGCTGTCTGACCAGAAGCTGCTTCCTTCTCTCCACCCTCCTGATGCTGGCTGCTCCTCACGCCCAGCGCTCAGCTGCTTCAAGAGTAGGGGTCTCCCCACTACCTCACCAGATCATGGCAGAGTTCCTTCCCGGCCCGAGTTCACGCCCCCTCTGCTGGTCCTCTCATTTCCCTGGAGCAGGAGGACCTGTCAGCTTGCTCTGCCTGCGCTGCTTCAGGCCTTCCCATGGCCGCTTCCAGCTGGTCTCAGCCATTAGTGACCAGTAGGCCCCAGCTGGACCCAGCACGTAGGAGCAGGCTCCTGGGCTCATGACACGGCCCCACTTGGTGTTTTGTCTCATCTCCAGCTCCAGGAAGCTCAAGAAACACCCAGACATGATCGTGATGCCTAAGCCTGCACCCCGGCTCACCATCTTTGATGAGGCGATGGATCCTGACGGGGAGCTCTTTGGTCCAAGCCAAAAGCTGCTCCCCTCGAGTGCCTCAGAGCCCCTGCCTCGAGACTGTAAGTACGGCCCTTGGCATCTGCCCTCAGGCCCCGCAAGCAGGCTTTAGACCCTGGCATGGGGTCCAGCGTGGACAGAATGCAAGTCTCATCTTGTCCTGTCTGCACCAGATACAGACTTGGCTCATGGAGGTTTTCTGCTGGAGAAATCAGGCATGAGACATGGCATCCCCACAGCCTGAAACATTCTGGGGCTGTAGTTATTCTAAATGTCTCATGGAGGATTGTCTTTGTTGCTTAGAGAAATGCCTGCAATGCTGTCTTCAGCCTGTGAGGGCGCTAGAGCCCCCGGTAGGGTCCAGAGGAGAGTCCCATCCGGGCATTAGGGCTTGGACTTAGGGTTTGGGTGCTGTCCCTTATTTTTTTTTTTTTTTTTAAACTCAAGACTGGTGTTCTACCACTTGAGCCACAGCTCCACTTCCAGCTTTTTGGTAGTTAATTGGAGATAAGACTCTCATGGGGTTTCCTACCTGGGCTGGCTTTGAACCACAAGCCTCAGATCTCTGCCTCTTCACGGCCACCCTTGTTGCTAGGATTTCAAGTGTGAGCCACCAGCACCAGGCATGATTTTAACTTTAATAAGAGGTTTCATGGTACCTGCACTAACTCCAGTGAAGGGCTCAGTGCAGAGATGGTGGAGGGAACACCAAGTAGCTTTTGGGTTTCTCCACCCCTTCCTAGTCCAACCTTCTGATGTAACCCAGTAATCCAGCCAATAGTACTTAGTGAGCACCCACCAAGAGCTGGGCCCAAGTCCCTGTCCTTAGGCCCTCGGGACCCTACAGAGACAGGATATCACCTGATCAATGCAGAGCAATGTAAGTCTGAACCAGAACAAGCAGAAGCCCTGGTTCCCCTGGAACTACAGGGACTGTGCCCTGGTGGGAGTGAGTTGGGTGGAGCTGAGCCTGGTCGGGGGCCTGATTGGTCAGCCAGCTGTAGCCATGCCCGCTGGATAAAGCATTCCAGTTAGAGACCAGGCCTGCTGGGGAAAGCCCTTCCAGAGAAAGGCGATGATCAGTGCTCCCATAGGCCAGGCCAGAGCAGCTCAGGTGCAAGAACGGGGGAGAGACGAGACTCTGAGCCTATGGGTCAGATCCCCTGGCTGGTGGGCGGCCCTCACTCCTGCTTACTGGAAGACAGGCTGCGGTGAGGGAACTCAGTGAGCCTGCGTCATGAAACCTGGGGGGACCTGGAACAGTGAGCTAAGAGGCCACTTCCCCGCCAGAGCAGAAGTTCAGAGAGGACCAGGCACCGAGTGAGGCCCCTGAGCTGCTGTCTCCTCGCCCTCCTCTGCCCCCACCTCGTTTCTCTTGCTCCCTCCCCTAGTGTGCGGGGAGGCTGGGCCTGGCATCTCCACCCTGCATCCCAGATGCTGAGGACGTCTCTGTGTAGTGTAGGGGACGTCTCTGACCATTCTGCCTCCTGCCTCCCCACAGCCCTGAAGCTGTTTGATGACCCTGACCTTGGAGGGGCTGTCCCCCTGGGGGACCCCTTACTGCTGCCTGCCACCCGTGAGAGTGGAAGGTCTTCATCTGGCCTGGGCCACACGGATGCTTCCACCACGCTGTTCAGGTACCACCGTCCTGAGCGATGCCTCCAGCTGGGCATCCGGGGCCTTCCCAGGGTGGAAGCCGCTCCCGGCCTCCGCCCTCGGGGGAGGGATCCATGCCAACCAAGACCTGCGTCCGCGGATGACTGAGAGATGGCAGTGGGACTTGGAAGGGTAGTTCCGCAGGGTCTGTAAAGAGAACAGGCAGTCTGTGTGTCCCCCTCACGTTCATGTGTTAAAAGTTTATGTCAAAAATAGAAATTAAATTATACAACTCAAGAGCAAGTATAACCGCGTAGATGGATTGTAGAACAAGTAAAACTGGGCTTTGGTAGCATGTGACTTTTCCATATGGAACAAAGCAGAAGGCCTGTCCACTGGAGGTCTGATCCCTTACACGGAGTCGAGCTCAGACCTTGTCCAGAAATGTTGGTTGCTGTTCTCTGCTTGCTGTGCGGTCCTCAGTGAAGGCGCCTCTCGAGCGGTCACTTGTCCAGGTGGTCCCTCCTGCCCACCTCTGCCCTGGCCTCTGCTCGATGGCACTGCAGGCTCTGAGCATTTGGAGAGGGGGCTGGGTCCTCTGAGCCTGCACAAAGTGTGCTGGTGGCATTCGCGACTCCATTTCTTCTCTACACCTCCCCAGGATGTGGGGTGTGCTTGGCCATATTCAGGAAGCCAAGCTGCCTCTTCCCAGGAATGGCTGGTGTGGCACTGAAGCGCGGGGCCCCAGGGGGGCTGTCATCGGTACCCCTCGTTAGCAGCCTCGGACTATTAGCCCTCCAACTGCCCGCCAAGCCTGAGTCACCGCTATGGCTTCTTGTATTTACATCTCCCCAAGGCCCCTGGCATCTGTTCAGGCTCTCCTACTGTGTCCTCAGTGCTGACATCCCAACAGGCTGGGAGGAGCCAAGACGGTTGCTGTTTTTTGTTAGAGAGGGAAACTGAGGCAGGGGGAAACAGGGAGTGACAGGGCCAGGTTGTGCCCTGAGGGGCAGCTCTAGTGAGACCTGTCTGATCTAGTATATTCGAAATCCATTTCCTATCAACCCTCAAACCGCTGAGCACGACGGCACTTTGGGGAGTCACAGGCTGCCTTCCAAGGATTCTATGGCCCGATGTGTGTTCTTATTGGTCCCTGGGACCCTTCCTTTGTCTTGCCTCTTGGCATCCCGCACAGCACCTTGGGAAATTCTGCTTAAAGAATGTGAGCCCTGCATCCCTGTCTCTACGCTGATAGACAGATGGTCATGAAAATCAGCTTCTTGGGAGCAAGAACCATAGTTGTTTTTTGAGTCTTCCCTGGTACCACTACTCAGTAACTAGGGTTCTTCATCACAAGGGGCTTTCTAGTATTCGTTCATTCATTCATTCATCAAGCTTTCACCCCTCTATCCAGTCTGGCCCCCTTCCCCCCTCAGGTCAGTGTGTGTATGGAGGGAAGAGTGTGATGAGCACAGGACTGGGCATCAGAGAAGCCTTCGTCTCCTCCTGCATGGAGCCACACCAGGGCCTGGCCTCCAGTGTTCTCACTAGACTTCTGTCTTCTCTTGGGGCTTGGGGAGGAGGCATGAGCTAGGAGCTCAGGACTCTTACCCCTCACTGTCTGATTACACCGGCTGGACCTGAGAAAGAGGGCCTGGATCTGAGACTCACCCCTAGTGATGACTCAGGGAGCCCAGGTGGAGTAGGGTGCTTGGAAAGGGGGAGCCGATGCAGGCACCTGTATCCCAAAAGCAGCTACACTGTCTCCACCAGGGCTACACGTGGTGCAGACGCAGCCATGACTAGTTCTCTGTACTGCTTTCTTTTCCAAGCAGCGTGACAGCCCGTCAGCTCTCAGATGCTTCTTTGTCTTCCTAAGGCTCCTGTCTGAGGATCACAGGCCCTTCGGGCTCTTTCTGGGTATCTGCTTCCTCCACTGCAGGATATAAGGGACCTGAATAATGCCGCCCCACCCCAAAACTCTAAGAGCCCAAGGCGGCTGCATTTTCTAGAGTCTAGCCTAGACGGTCTCTGGGTCTGGATCAGGAGGCTACCTTTCCCCCACTGTTCTGCCGGGCAGGCTCTGAATTCTCTCTGGTCCCCCCAGGAAGTGGGCAGGGTGAGCCTCCCTCCATCCGTGGCTGGTTCCCGGCAGGCAGCTCCCTGGGGACACTGTGTTGGGTTCACGCAAGCTCTGCCAGGCCTTACAGGGCAAGAGGTTGTTCTAGTTCCTTCTCTCCATTCCTCCTCCTCTTCAGCCCACTGATGTCTGAGCTGACTCACATTCTTGGTCCCGGGGCAGGCAGCGTCCTTCTCAAGCCATCTAGCAACGCCTGTCTATTCTAACCTTCCCCCCTGGATCTCTGTGGTCCGCTACTCCCTTCTCCAGCATCCATCCCCTCCTTTCTTCCTTTCCGGGAAGCCTCCTCAGCCTCGACTGGGCACAGGAGCTGTCTGGCCAGCAGGGAAGCCACTCCTCTATATCTTCTGCACCTCTGCTCAACACCTGTGGTTATCATTATATGCAGTGAAGCACTTTCCATGTGATGTTTTATTTGGACCTTACAAGAATCCCTGTGAAGCTGGACACCGTGGTTCACACTTGTAAACCAAATACTCAGGAGGCAGAGGCCAGGAGGATCATAGTTTGAGGCAAGGCAGCTAAGAAGTTAGCCAGCCTTCATCTCAGTCAATAAACCTGGCATGGCGGTATACACCTGTGATCCCAGCAACTTCAGAAGCCATAGGTAGGAGGATCTTGGTCTGAGGCCAGCCACAGGATAAAAAAAACCACACAACCATCCTAGTCACCAGCAGGCGGTTGGAGGTCTGAGTCTCAGCCGGCCTTGACTGAGGCCACTCTAGCCCTTGCTGAGTTCATCACAGCATCTGTGGCCCATGGAGGAGCCCGTAGCATAGTGGCTTAGAACCCAGCAGTGAGCCTGGTTGGGCTGTGTGCTCAACAAGAGGAGACATCCTACTTGTGACCCAGGCACTGCCACTTACTGCCCTCCTCCATAAGGCCACAGGACCATCTCAGCTCCAGGGGCCTGCCTGCAAGGTGGCCCTGAATGCACCTCTCCAGAGGTGTCCAGAAGTCTTGAGGACGGAATAAGGTAGAGAATCCTAGCACGAGGTAGTGAGCAGTCATTCTAAAGGGACTGGAGGGCTGGGAATGTGGCTTATTGGTAGAGTGCTTGCCTAGCATGCATAAAGCCCTGGGTTCGATTCCTCAGTACCACATACACAGAAAAAGCTGGAAGTGGTACTGTGGCTCAAGTGGTAGAGTGCTAGCCTTGAGCAAAAGAAGCTCAGAGACAGTGCTAGGCCCTGAGTTCAAGCCCTGGGACTGGCAAAAATAAAAATAAAGGGACGGGAGGGAAAGTCCTGTGAGGAAGCTGCGTTTGGGGAGGAGTCGCCCAAAGAGCCTGCTGAGATGCCACAGGAACTGGCTCTGCCCACTGCTGTGGGGTAGAGGATGTCTGTCTGGATGGCACAGCACAGGCTGGCTCGTGGGAAGTGGTGCTGCAGGGTGGGGGAGGGTCTTCCTCCTTTTGGAGGGGATGGCTATACTCAGGGCTGCTCCCTCTGGTTCCCTAGGGTGGAAGAGGACTTGGACCAGATTCTGAACCTGGGGGCTGAGCCCAAACCCAAGCTGCAGCCCAAGCCCAAGCCCCCGGTGGCAGCTAAGCCAGCACTGCCCAGGAAGCCAGCTGTGCCTCCAGCAGTGGGCCCAGCCAAAGCTGAGGCTGGACCACAGAAGCAGCGTCAGCAGATCCAAGCCATGGATGAAATGGACATCTTGCAGTACATCCGGGACCACGACGCCTCTGCCCAGGCCTCTCCCAGCCTCTTCTGACCACTGCACACCCTCCTGTGGATGCATGCCTGTGTGGAGTGGGCCAGGACCTCCATGACCCAGGACTGCATCACTCATTCCTCTTTCTCCTGAGCTGTAGGCTCCATGTGGAATCCCCACAGAATAGAGCCAAGGGCCCTATAGGAATAAAGCCCACATGATCCCTGTCCAGCCGGAAGAGACGGGAGAGTAAACGCAGAGATGCCTTGCTCAGCAGGGATGGAGTGAGATTTGAAGGCACCTCTGGGAGGAGTCCCATTGAGCAGGACCCTCCTGCCTCCTGTGCCAAAAGGCCCTGCTGCCCAGCATAGGAAGCCTGGCCCACTCGGGCAGGGCTATATGGCTGCCAAGCCCTGGAGCAGAAGACCCCCAACCCCCCACCCCCAGTCCAGGCTGCCCTCCTCTGATTTCCCTGCCTCATGGGAGTGTGGAGCCTTGGGCCTCTGGGTCCAGAGACCATGTCTGTCATGACAGCTCTGAGCAGAGTGGCTTGTGGCATCTTCAGAGCTGGGACTCGGGAGTGTCCGGCCTGGCACTGCTTTCCCATAGGAAGCCGCGCTCCCACGCTTCTGTCCTGTCCTCAGGGTTTGCATTCATCCGCGGCCTTCCAGCCATGGAGCCACCAGCCCGGGGAGAAGGGCTGCGCACCAGGGCAGCTGGTGCCTCAGATGCCTCCCAGGTCCCCAGCGCCCGGGGCGCGGCACGCAGGACATGCAGTGACAGGACGAGTCACTGAGCAGAGAGCGCTCCATGGCCTTTCTTTGATACAGTCTTCGCGTCCAGAGCTAGTTTTTAATGAAACAATCGTGTGTTCATTTTTTGTTTTTGTCCTGCCTGACAGGCTTCTGGAGGTCAGGACTAGGTCCCCACCCACGGCAGCTGGGCCCACATGCCTCCAGGTGGCAGGCCCCTGGCTTCCTGCTGTCACTGTCTGGTGTCACCAGTTCCTGCCTTGCGCAGGGCCCACAGGGTCTGTCCTGTGTCTCCATGTCCCCTCCAGCTGCCTCACCCTAAGCTTACTCCCCACCTGTGCCAAAGGGAGGGGACCAGAGTGCTGCTGGGCAGAGCTGAAATCTCTGCTTTGCCTGGTGGCAGGGTCCCCTCTTCAGGGCCCCGTGCTGACCCAAGGGCAGCTTCTGCCCTGCCTTAGCTTTGTCAGCGGGCCTTCTACCTCAGCGCTCAGCCCCAGCCCTGGGCTCACACCACATCCGACTGCGGAGAAAGGAACCGAGGGTAGGAGGGGTGAGGCCACGTGACCAGGTCCTCCTCAGAGAGGCTGCCCAGATCAGCCCCTGCCCCAGCTCTCCACCCCCCATTCTCTGCTCCCTGGCTGCCAGTTACCTGCCTTCCTCCTCCATCCCTACCTCACACCTGCTTTGGATCACAGGTGACACAGGAACAGCGTAGGGCTGGCAAGGTAACTGGTGTCAGTCTTCTGTCTGGGTCTCTAAGGGAACCTGGCTTGTCACTGTCTGGAGTGGGGTTGGCCTCTGTGAGGCAGCCTCCTCAATGGCCTGGAGTTCTCTGGACCCCAATGCCCTGGGGCGACCTCTCCACAGATTTGTGATCCACAGTCCACCGATGTCACCTAGTAAACTCTGTGACTCATTCAGAATGTGTTAGTGTCGTTCTTCTCTGTGCCTGATAGAAGATTGCAGGGGTGTGTGTGTGTGTGTGTGTGTGTGTGTGTGTTGCTAAGTATGCAGGTATATACTTGCGTGTACATGTACAGGAGATTCTTCATAACAGTACTCGGCCCAGGTTGCTGCCCTGATCTTCCAGGCTGTCTCTTAGGTAGAAATGGGAGAAGGGAAGATTCTCTTTCTTCTTTTTTTCTTTCTAATCTTTATTCTTTATTATCTCCCCCACCCCCACCCCGGTGCCAAAGTTGTAAAGTTCGTTTTTCAACGTAATGTCTTGTACATCTCATTGTTGCAATGGGTCCACCTGTATCCCTATTTAAACAATTTAAACAATTTGTTTTTTTCCCTTCCCCTCCACAAATTATACCAACATTAAATACAGTGAAAACAGGGGTTATACCGTGGGGGAGGGACATACAAAGCAACAAAAAATATCTTATAAATACATTAGAAACAATAGTAAGAAAGAAAAACCACTTGAGTCCTTATCTTAGAGTTCATTTCGCCTAACATCAACTTATCTGACCGTTTCTGCTTGACTCAGACATATACTAGTTATTGCAAATAAGGGAAACCATGGGACCTATGTTTATTTGGGCCTGGCTTACTTCACTTAATATAATTTTTTCCAAGTCTTTCCATTTCCTAACAAATGGGGCAATGTCATTCTTTCTGATGGAGGCATAGAATTCCATTGGTTCTTTTCCTAATAGGATAAACAGGCAGAGGCCCAGACCCATTGTGGAGCTTAGAGCCAGTAACTGTTCAGCGAGGTCTTCTACCCCTCTCGACCTTCCCAGCCCCACCTTTGGGACTGGGATAGCCTGAGACTATCATGTGTCAGACAGCCCTGCCCAGTGTATGTAGGTAGACTTGACCTGGCTTCTGCCCTGCTGCCAGAGCTCAGACTCCAGTGCTCCTTTACCCCTGGTCCTCAGAGAGTCTGTAGCTGACAGCTTTGTAGAACCAAAAGCAGGGAGCCAGTAGGAAGGCTACTGACACAATAGTTTGGGCCAATATCAATGCCTGGCCTTCCCCCTGTGGCTTGAGTTTAGACCTTGCAGCAGGGTTGAATTGGAGCCTAGGTTGGCGTTCCCATGGGCAGACCACTGGGCTGCTCTGAGGACTGCTTGGTGCAGAAGCAATGCAGCAGAACGTTTGCCGTGGAAGGGAAACTGCGAGGTCAAACTCGGATAGCAACGCTTGTTTGTTTTGAAGTCTGTTGTAAGCCATGGACAGGAAGTGCTGCCTATGGCGGCTCCTACTCCCTTCCTCCAGGCATTGTTGCTCTCAGGAAGCTGTCAACTTGGCCAGTTCTGGAAAGTCCCAGTCCTGGGGCTGGTTCTGGCCACTGGATTTCACCAGAGAGCACCCACACATGGAGCGCTGGCCTCCAGACTGGGTGACCTCAGCTCACCCCAAGCACTCAGTGGACATTCTTGAGCCTTTAGATGCAAGCTAAGACCATGAAGTCAGGCCACTGTTGGGGACCTTCAGCCCAGTTGCCACACGGGTGTTGTATCAACAAACCATGTTAGACTGACATGGAAAATCCTGTGGGGTCCTCTTGTTCACTGACTGCCCAGCTAAGCGTATCCAAGAAAGAGGGCCACAAAGCCACCAACATGCCTGCTGGCTGGTGGCAGCCACTTACTGACGTCTTCATGTAGATTGATGGCTGCCCAAAGCAGAAGGCCCGCAGTGAGAGCCCCTTTGAGTGTCCAGGCCTTCAGTTCTGGCTTTGGATTGGACAAGACCCTGTTTCTTCCAGTCTATCCCAAGGCCTTAAAACTTGGGCTGCTGCAGGAGGAGCAGTTGACGGCTGCTGGCAATCATGTGACCTACAGCACTTTCTGTGGCTCAGTCCTAGCAAACGGGGTGCCTCTCAGTGCTGAGTGGAGATACTCACCCCTAAGCTCATGTGGACATGAACGCCTATCTGTACCTGAAGGGGTTTCAGGAAGCTAATCACTCCAGGTTCTCCCAAAGGGGCCTGGTGCCCGGGACTAACTAGCTACTAAGCAGACATGGCAGTGACCACACAAACAGTCTGTCCAATACAGCTCAGCTGAGCCTCCAGCCCAGGCACTGATTGCTGTTTCTATCTGGGGCATTGTGCTGTGAATCCAATGTTTTGTGGAAACTTCCATCCCTCTCCTGCCTGCCGACCTCCAGCTGTTGTTTTCGATGGCTCTGGCTACTGGTCAGAGCAGAGCCAAGAGATTGCATGTCTGGGGTCGTGCTCAGAATAAAGCCACAGACTTTGGCTGGAGGATTATAAGGGTCAGCACGTGGCTCAGGAAGCAGGCTCTCTATTGACAGCTTTGAGGCCCGATGCTGCTCTGCCAACTCAGCAAATAGCCCAGCATCACAATCACGTGTTAGAAGCTGGGTTAGCTCCCTCCAGCCCGGCTGGCTGTGTCCTCCCTTCCCTCATCTCCAAACACAATATTTGGGGGGCACCCATTGTGTGCAGGTACTACAGCCTGCCTCACGTGGGAATGGTGTGGCGAGAGGCCTAGGAATGCAGAAGGCAAATCAGCCCTCCGGGTTAAGAAGTGTTCTAGGGGGTTGGAGGCATGGCTTAGGTGGTAGAGCATCAGCCAGAGAGGGAAAGCATCAGAATCTTAGTCTCAGACTAAAAAAAAAAAAAGTAAGTCACTGGGAAAGTGTCACAAGCCATGGGAACAATACAAGGGTACAAACCGTGTCAGGTAAGCCAAGTGAGCAGAAGGGAGAGCTCCAGTGCTCGGGGCGCATGGGAGACCGGCCTGCACAGGCAGACAGCATTCATGTGGACCTACAGGCTGCACAGCCCGCTCCAAAGAGGAGGAGGACACAACCAAAGTAGAAAACGGGCCATTAAAGCTGACCCAGGAGGCGTGCTGAGCCCCAAGCTTCAGTTCCATCCCTTGGGCCTCCTGCCCAAACATCAGACACCAGTAACAACAGCCCAACACCCGACACCCTCGGCACCTGCTCTGCACCCCAGCTCCTCCCCTCTGCCTCCTGCCAGCACATGCAGTGGAGGACAGCCCGAGCCTGGCTTCTGGTCCCTGTGTTAGTGTCAGTCAGAGTTGTAAACAATTGAAGGATCTGCTGGCCAGAAGTCTGAACTCAAGGTGTGTCAAGGCTGTAGTCTCCAAGGCTGTTAAGTAGAGAACCCTGCCCTGCATTCTGCCTGGAGTTGGTGACTGCTGGCAATGCCTCAGCCCCACTGCCCCACTCAGTCTATGCCTCCATCTTCATGTGACACTGCACCCGTGTCTCCCTTAGCACCGTGGTCATCTCCATGTTGGCTTTGTGTGTCCAGATCTCCCTCTGTATGAGAACACAAGCCCCTGATTGGGTCTACTCTAACCCAGTGGCCCTCATCCGACCCCAGGCACATCAACAGAGGATCTACTTCCAAATAAGCCCATCTTCACAGGTTCCAGGTAGACGTGAATTCAAGGGGACCCCCTTCAACCCAAGATAGTCACCTCCTACCCTGCGCGTGTGGAATTCAGCACTTTTGCAGGCAGGGAGCATCCCCTCTGTCCTACGGAGAGCCATGGCCTCTGTGCCAGGCTCTGTGCTCTCTCTATTTTGGTTCTGTTCTTTGGGCCCTCTGCCCTATGGGAGCATCAATGATGCTCAGAGCTGTACAGCTGACAGTGACAATAACACAGCCCCCAGAAGCTCCTCCCTGGGGGGAAGGCACCTTAAAGTTTTATGCCCCATGCCTGATGGCCTTACCAGAGAGCTGGCTTTGGGGCCTTCCCTCCTGCTGTCTCCCTATCATCCTCTCATTGAGGCTTAGAGGAAGTCAGGGCCTGTGGTAAGGGGGGCCTTGAGGCTCACGAGGGCCACAAGGAACTCCTCTGCCTCTTCAGGCAAAGCTGTTTTCCTGTCCTGGAGAGCAGGCTCTTGGCATTTCTACACTTGTAGTTCTCTTTTCCTTTTTGCTTTAGTGGCCGCTTTGCTGACTTCCCCTAACAAATGCTCCAGGTCCCAGAAGACAGTGTTTTTAGATTAGAAAGTAGAACAGCAGTTTCTGTCCACCTGTTTCCTAAGGATGCAGACCTTCAGAGAGGCTTAGCACTGCCCGTGACAGCCTTGCTCCACTTCGTGGCTGCCATGAGGCATCCAATGTGGTGGATCTGGGAAGGGGAAATGTGCTGTATCTTGGAAAGAAGTTTGGCCAGTTTATTAAAAAAAAAAAAAAAAAAGCTGGACAATACTTAGGAGAAGAACACAGAGGCTCAATGCCTATGTGCATCTGATCATATCAAATAAAATTAAACTCCAGAAAATGGAAATAATAGGGTTTTTCTCTTTGTTTTTTTTAAAAAATAGCAGCTGAGCACTGGTGGCTCATACCTGTAATCCTAACTACTCAGGAGGCTAAGATCTGAGGATTGTCGTTCAAAGCCTAATGGGGCAGGAAAGTCCATGAGACTGTGGTTCAAAGTGATAGAGTACTAGACTTGAGCAAAAGAGGTTAGGGACAGCCCCTAGACCCTGAGTTCAAACCCCACAACTGAACCCCCCCCCAAAAAAAATGCTAGACAATAAGACTCAGCAATTCTGCTCATAGGCATAGGCCCAGAGAGACAGGATATAAATACATGCTCACACAAAGACTACACAGTGTTCATTGCAGCTTATCATATCAAAAAGTAGAAACATCTCAACAGTTCATCACCTGGTGAGTGGTTAAACAAAATGTAGTATATCCATAGAGTAGATACACTAAAAGAAACAGTAATACATAATACCATGTTGTTGATAGACCTCAAAAACATCATATCACACTACATGTGAGGTGATTCTGCTTACACGAAATTTTGAGGGCAGATCTACAGAATCAAAAACTACATTAGGGGTACCTCAGGCTGGGAGTCAGAACCGACAGTGGCTTCAGAGAGGCACAGAGGGTTGTTGGGGTGAAGGAAATGTTTGAAAACTAGAGTGCTGTATAGGT